TTGTAGAACCTAGAGAAGCTTACAGATCGGAGTTTGGAGGTTGTGGGCCCCGCGGGCCCGTTTGACCCTAGGTTGACCGTGAAACTTCGGAGATAGTCTTACCTTTCTTTAAGGGTTAGAATGACCGTAGTGACAGGTCTTGATGTTATGTGGGTTATGGGGCATTATCGGATGCTAGATGGTTGTTAAGGTGTTTACAATATTAGAAATTAATGTATATAATTATGTGTGTATACAAAGGTATAAAAGAGTATAGAATGTCAGTTTAGAGTGTTATACGCACTACCCTATGTACCTCCCCGGATATTGATTACACTGTGAGGAGTAGTTGGCATGTAGACAGACCACATACGTGGCCGAGTGCGTCCCGACGTATGAGGGGAGATGTGATATTGTGTTGAGGTCGCACGTGTTGTAGGAGTAGCCGGTGTGTTGACAGACCCCATACGTGGCCGGGTGCGTCCCGACGTATGAGGGGAGATGTGATATTGTGTTGAGGTCGCACGTGTTGTAGGAGTAGCCGGTGTGTTGACAGACCCCATACGTGGCCGGGTGCGTCCCGACGTATGAGGGGAGATGTGATATTGTGTTGAGGTCGCACGTGTTGTAGGAGTAGCCGGTGTGTTGACAGACCCCATACGTGGCCGGGTGCGTCCCGACGTATGAGGGGAGATGTAATATTGTGATGAGGTCCTACATGTCGTAGGTTTATCCGGCGTGCGAACAGGCCTCATACGTGACTTTGGATGTTCTGGCGTCGGGGAAGATTTTGTGAGTATTGTTGAGTTGTGATTTAGAGAAAAGGGGTTTTAGAGAAAGAACTACGTGTGGCTTGATCCCTCCGTAAGGGTACTTAGGCAGCATGAAGTTACTAAGTGCAGCCGCGGATTAGATTTAGTTAGGTACTTTGTTAAGTTTGTTTCGGACCTTGTCGTTGGTCCCGAAATTTGGGTGAAAGTGAGATGCAGTCGTGTTAGGAGTGTGTTGTTATTTTGTTTTGAAGTATTGGAAGCCCGGAGGCCAATTAGCTGAATTGCATGTTGTTATCTTGTGCATGCTGCCCGTTGGGATATTAAAATGTGAATTTTGTGCAGGTTGAAATTTGGGGAATGTTCAATTTACAGGGGAGATTCTGCCAAAATTTCGGTAGAAAATCTCGTGCCCTTACTCTTTTAAGAAAAAGAGGTTACAGTTTGCAGAAGTGGGCCTGACATCGGGATGATGTCGGGAATTCCACAGGGTTCGTCTTGGGTTAAGGGAAATTCGGGACGGGTCCTGTCATTTTTATTACATTTTTTTCTATAACAAAGTGGAATGCAAAATAATATTTTTGAAGTGTCAATAACAATTTTTTTAAGGGAACAAAGAACAAGGTCAAAAACATAAGAAACAACAGAAAGATGGGGTTGTCGAATAATATATACCACCCGAGTCATTCTATAGTGAGGGCCTTATGAGGCTCTATCTTTAAAGACACCTATGAGAAAGAAATTGTTATATATCCTTACTGCTGAAATACTCAATACTGATTTCTTTCTTTGATCACTGTTATTCATCTTAATAATGAGTTGGCGTAAATTACTCAAATAGTCCTCAAACTTGTACGTGATTTACATTTTGGTCCATAAATTAAATTATTAGTCCAAATGGTACATAAACTCTATTTTAATTGCCCATTTGATCCAACCGTTACATTTTCTGTTAAATGTAACCTAATTTTAGGGGCAAATACGACTTTTCATAATTAACAAATAAAATAAGGTTAAAATAAATACAAAATTTGAAAATAATTTAAGAAAAAGAGAAAAAAAATAATGAGACCCAACCCCTCCCTTTGATTTCTTCTCCCCCATTCCCCACAGACCTCTCTATTGAAGTCCACCACTTGCTGCTCCAAAGGCGTGAACTTGGCAGGTAGGTTGGAAGAGAAGAAGGTTTTGAAACGTAGGATGATGGTTCTAAAAGCTTCTGGAGGAACGATTGATGGAGTGGGTTGTGCTGGTGTAGGCAAAGAGTTTAGGTAGTTTGGGAGATGAGGAGGTGAGGTGGAAGGAGAGGAGAGTGCACTTAGAGGATTAGAAATTGACAATGGCTGTGATTTTGGGAGGTGAGGTTGGCAGGTGATGAGGTGAGGAGGAGGTGGTGGGTGGTTGTCTCTCAATAACAAAGGAAAATCAAAGGGGAGGGGGAGCTGGGGTTATGGGTTCATGGGGCCTAGGGTGGAGGGTAGTTGTTGGATGGGTTTGGGTGGAGTGGTTGTGGGATGGGTTTTGGGGGTGGAGGGTGGTGGCCAAGAGAGAGAGAGAGAGAGAGAGAGAGAGAGAGAGAGTGTGTGTGTGTGTGTGTGTGTGTGTGTGTTTTTATTTATTTTTTAATATTTATTTATTTGTAATGTACGAAATGACCAGTTTGCCCTCATATTTAACAACAACATTGACAGAATGTAACGGTTGGATCAAATGGGTGATTAAAATAGAGTTTATATACCATTTGGACTAATAATTTAATTTATGGACCAAAATGTAAATCGAGTACAAGTTTGAGGACCATTTGAGTAATTTACCATAATGAGTTGGAATTAGTTGTGAAACCTTAACTAGATTTGTACGCATGCATATTTCAAGAGGTTGGACTACTTCTCCACCGAATGTAATTTAGTTAACTCTAAGCTCTTTTAGATAATTTCGCTTAAGTCTTGCTCTGTTATTTTCACTCCTCCCAACCACCCTTACCACTATATTCTATGTTTTCATGCTTTCAGGGTTAGATCTCATAAGTTATTGTTGTCAAAATTGCAGGCATTTATTCACCCAATGCTTATCGTGGTTTTGCTCGCAAGCTCATCGAGGATTTGGAAAGAATCAGGTGGGTTAGCTTGTTGTAAGTCCGTTTAGGCAATGTTTCACTTGTTGGCATTGTAGTTTTCACAAAATTTAATCATGCAATGCAAGAGGTTTATGAACAGCAGAAAGAGTTGATTTTACTTGGAGGGTTGTTCTTGCAACTCTTGCTTTTGATATTAATGTAAACCATCCATATAAACCGCTGGTTGAGGCAATAAAGAAATTCAAAGTAGTTGAAAATGCCCTTGCTCAAGTAGCATGGAATTTTGTTAATGACGAGTGTGGTTCTCTTAGTTCATATATCTTGCTTGTTCTTCTTGGCCTTTCTTCAGTTTCTTCTTATATTTGGAATGTGGCATGTAGACTTAATATGCATTTGTTTTGATTTGGAAATGGTTGATGCCATCACTATCATATGATATTTTGAATTGTAGTTCAGTGAGATTTTATACAAGTTCTGCATTGTAGTTTTGCACAAACTACATTGCAGTTTTGGTAATTACAATTGGATTTTTGCTATTTCCTTAGCCTTCAACCCCATCAATTTAAGGAATAGAGGCTACCCAAATGAGAAATTGGGTGGGCAAGAGAAGATGGAAACTGCAATGCAGAAAAAGGAAACTACACTGCAGAAAAGAGAAACTACATTGCAAAAAACGAAAACCTACAATGCAGAAAACGGAACGTGCAATGCAGAAAACAGAAACATGAATAACCTATTTTACATTCTAGGTGGTCTTTAGTCTGATTCCCCCTCTCCCAACATGTCTTGAATAAATAAAAAAATGTTTTGTTTTGTTTAACTCTAGAGCTGAGCATTTGTATTGCAATTTCTGTTTATGCATTGCAGTTTCTGCTTCTACATTGCATTCTGCATTGCAGTTTCTATTTTAGTACTTTCATCTTGGTTCCTCCATTTTGCTTCTATAAAAACAAAAAGAAATTTTTGGTTACTGTTTTCATGTTTGCTTCTGTTTTTACATAATTGATATCTACATTGTATTTTTGTTGCAATTTCTGCTTTTATTTGCAGTTTTTGTGTGAATATGTGGTGAAATGATTTTTTTTTTTAAACCGTTGATTGTTTATATAAATATTGTATAACTAAATAAATATTACAAAATCAAGTTTGGTATAGTGGTTTGTGAGTGAGCCATCTTTCTTTGAAAGTTAAGGTTCAAGTCACTTCAATGACACATTTTTTTTTTCCTTTAAAGGTGAATAAAGGGCAACAGATTTGGTCTCATGTAGATGGTGGCAGGCCGGCGGTGGAGGCTAGCGGCTACAGATGGCTAGAGGTGGCTAGCGGTGGGCATCCGGAGGTGGTTGGTGGTGGCGCCGGCAGGTGGTTGGCCGACGGTGGCGGTTGGCTGGATATGGACATGTGGCATAATATGCTTGCCTTAGAAGGAATGGTAATGTGTGTAATTTTGATATTTTTTAATGATATTTTTATAAAATTAGGTACCTACATTTTGGTCTTTGGCCTTATTCTAATTAGATGAAATTGTATTCTTATCTTCCAAATTAGTAAACTATATTGTGTTTTAAAACTAACCTCCCTAAAATCAAAGGGATAAATCCAAACTCAACCAAATACACACTTGTGTTGCTTTCCTGCACGCTCAAGAATATATATAATACCTAAGATATTAATATAGGTAATAGACACGTAAAAAAATTTGGGTCCCCCCTGTGCGGTGGCACCACTTGCATACCCTCAGGGCCACCCTTGATCACCACCCATGTATATATGTTTCTCTATATTAAAAAATTTGTGCATGAGGTCATCAACGTACCTACTTTGCATATTATATATAACTTTCATTGAGGATTTTATAGGACACAATTGAATGCCAAAATGGTTTCCGATTTGTCCAATTTTTTGCAAGGATGATCTATGAATGTAGACTTAAAAAATAGATTGTTTACATCATTGAAAAAAAATTGTAAAGTACCTTAAAAGGCGTCTCTCAAATAAAATTATTTAAGAAATCTCTCAATAGAAGGGAGTATATATATATATATATATATATAATATTATATTATACGGAGTATATTAGGTTAAAATTTGTGGAAGCGGAAACATAATACCTCTATGCGACCCATTCATACAAATTACAGTATATATCAAAGCCAAAACTGTACGACTAGATATTACTAGAAATAAAAAGGGCAATTTTGCATTAATTTAATTAAACCACACAAGCATTCCCGCAGACTACTCGCCTAAGTGCAAACTCAGAGTCAGATGCACAACCCCAAACAGAATCATGCTGCTACATCCAACTTTTCTGTATATTTTCCAAGAGATTATCACATAAACTGATATTATCACATAAACTGATAAACGGGTACAAGTCAGAACAACCCTGGTTTAATGTATTTTACATATGAATAATTTAGTAACGGTTCAATGATGCTTTCCACCTCCAAATTATTTACTAAATCATCCAAGGTCAGATCCCTTGTATCAAGGAGGTGCATATCACGATACCATCACTCGTAACTTTGTATAATCAGATCAACCATTACTGCTGCCAACCATACTGTTGATTGCGGTTTCCACCCATCATGTTTGAGCCCCGACCAGCAGTGGAGCCACCATATGGGCCATTTTGAGGATAGTTTGGACCACCTACTCCATAACCACTACCTCCACCCCGAGGACCTGCACCAGGCATGCCACTAGAACCATATGGCCCGCCTCTCCCTTGTGTAGGATATGGGCCGCTACTGTACCCACCTCCACCCCCTTGACCACCCCTATTTGGATGGTTGTATCCACCACCAGGGTTTCCACCAGGTGGGTATCTGCTTGGCCCTCCAGAGGGCCCGCGGGGTTTCCCATAATGATGGCTAGGCCCTCCAGCAACTGCGGGCTGAGAACCATGGATGGGCTGGTTAGGTCCAGGCCGCATTTGGGAATGTGCTTGGCCAGATTGCTGAATCGGAGGGAGGCGATTATGCTGTGGGTGCTGCAGTTTCTGACGTTTTGCATTTTCTTCATGTTGCCGTTGCTGCTGACGTTTTTTCTTTGTCTGGAACTCATGTGATGATTCATATTTTGGTAAACTGAGCCAAGAAGTGGTTTTAGTTAAATAAAATAACAAGTGGTGTAGATCACATGACAATAAAAAAAAATTCTTAAAGAATAAAAATAAAAATGAAATGAAAGGATAGTAGTAGTACAAGGAACCAACCTCTTCGGATCACAAGGTAATGGATCAGTCCAGAAGTACTCAGCATCAAGAGCATCCTTAGCAGATATTCTCTATAATTAATTATTAAGAAAAAACAAAATGATAAACAGTATGTCAGAATCCCGCCTAAATACAGTAGCATTCATCATATAGGGACACTATGCCACATTTCTCTCCTTACAATGCAAAACCAGCTAGTATTACCATTGCTACATTTATGAAGGGGCAACTCATAGGACCAAGGATTAACTTAATAAATTACGAAAGATGACTGTTCTACAAGGTAAAAATAATTCATGCACACATAAGAGGACAATTTTATCGGATATGTACACACCTGAGAAGGATCAAGTGTCAACATTCTCTCCAATAACTCCAAAGCATGGCGGTCAAAACTATAAAGCAAACAAAGAAAATTTAAGCTAAGATACAAGCCACAAGGCCCAAGGCTTATGCTTACCCTGTATGCTGATGACAGAACATGTGAATACAGCGGTAGTAGGAAAATTACTTACTGTCTAAAAACCTCCCTGAGACGTCTCTTCATTGGCCTTGTTGGCTTGAAGTTGTTATACCAAGGAATCTTTGAAACTCCGGGCCAGTTGCCCTCATCTGGAGCTCCACACAGCTCAAAAATTTTATTTAATTGTTCTGGCTACAATGATTAAAACAGAAAAAGAGGATTACATTGTTGCGATAAATTATTGAAGATATTAATATTTTAGGTTGGAAAATTTTATACCTTGTACATATGCATGCTAAACAGTAACATATGCCCATGGGACTTCTTGGAAACCCAAGAGCATTAAGACAAACGAAGGACTCAAGATGGAGTCAAAATAGTCAAACTTCAGGAATAGTTAAAAGTCGGAGTTAGGGTTAGAAGACCAAACTAAAACAATCTCTTGACGCAGACTTGGGAATATGCTTCAGTTGTGTCTAGATGGTAACCAAACCTAGGAAGGGTTATAACTCAGAGATAAGTATTATTGAGGACTCGAGTAGACACAAAGATAACGAACGACATCCAGAAGTTTTGGTGTGCTGGCAAAAGGACTTGGCAGATTAAAGAGCCAAAAAATTGTAAATGACCCAGGCTATTGGATTGAATCTGGTCAAATGGAACTTAGGAGGTTGACCCAAAGCTTACTAAGTACACCAGCTGTTTAAGAAATTCAAACTTCAGGAACATCTGTGTTATAGACAGTGGTTCGATCAGAGAAAATCTTGATAGAAAGGGGCTTAGCTCTCAATGGATGGAGCTGGATGGTCAGTGGGTTCAACCCACCTCCCTCAGTTTAAGACACGAAAAATGCAACACCAGAAGCTCAGTTCATTTTTCATTTGGAGTTATATTCAAATTGCGTAATTTACGCATACTGAGACACATTCAAGCCTACACCTGCACCCACTTGGATTAAGGGGAGTGAGGCTTCCAGTAACTTGTAAATCTTAAGAACCTGTGAGAAAATTGAAGAACTTGTTAAGTGGTAGGTATGGGCTGGCTGGCAATGACCCTGTGAGAAAATTGGCCACTAAGTTTGTACAGACTTTGGGTTGATCTGTATCCCATAAAACCTTACTTTGGATGAGTAACAAAAATCTGACATAGAGAGGTTGGTGTGGATGTAGGCGAGTTACCAAACAAAGTAGAAATCTTAGTGCTTTTATGTTTTTTTTTCTTTACAGCTGTATTTTAATTATGCAGAAAGGAGTGTCCTGATTGAATGTCAGTTGACTGGAAATGAATCCTGACCAACCTAGTGACTTACTAGACATGTGTTAGCATAAGTAAAAGTTAAACACTAGAGCTTGAACCTGCACTAATCCGCAGTCAAAGTGAACCCATACTTCAGTTAATACACTGTTTGACCTTTCCTGTCACTCTAGGACGCAATTGCAATTAGTTGCATGAAGATTATAATGTTTTCTTTCTAGTTCTCAATAAATTCATAGCAACATAAAATTCTTATAACTGCACAATGCAAAAGAAATTAAAATAAAATACCAAAAGGATGGTTAATTAATTAGATGACACAGACAACTACAACACATCCTAAATTGAAAACTACCTATTAAGCATAAAGAATGAAACTTACAAAAAGGGAGGCAAAAATATACTCTAAAATTATGGCCCTTTTTATGACATCCGAACCCACACTTCAGTTAGTACACTGTTTGACCTTTCAAGGTCAAACAGTCAACCAGTCACTCTAGGATGCACTTGCAATTATTAGCATGAAGATTATACTGTTTTCTTTCTAGTTCTCAATAAATTCATAGCAACAACATAAAATTCTTATAACTGCACAATGCAAAACAAATTAAAATAAAATACCAAAAGGATGGTTAATTAATTATATAACACAGAGAACTACAACACATCCTAAATTGTAAACTACCTATTATGCATAAAGAATGAAATATACCCTAAAATTATGGCCCTTTTTACAACATGAATTTCGTATAACACATGGTGTTATTGTGAATCTATCTTTTGTGAATTCCTACCCAATTCTTTATCTTTCAAACTGCTCTAAAATAATCTTATTGGTCCTATTGTACATGCCTGATGAGAGCTTGCAGTGCAGAAAACATTTTACCTCATCTTTCCCGGGAAAGATTGGCTTGCCATGTAGAAGCTCAGCAAAGATACACCCAACCGACCACATATCTACAGCTGGGCCATACTTAGTAGCCCCAAGAAGCAATTCTGGAGGTCTGTTCAAACAAAGACAGATCACAAACTATACTTTCTGTTGTACAAAATTTTATTTCAGAAAAAAAGGAGCCAAAATTGAAAGATACAAAATCTCTAGAATCCATTCAAGGGAGTTCAATTTCACCTGTACCAAAGAGTAATAACACGATTTGTAAGATTGGCATTGTGATCGTTTGAAAATGAACGGGCGAGCCCAAAATCTGCAAGCTTCAGATTACCTTCATTGTCTATAAGAAGATTAGAGCCTGCAAGAAAAATATAAAACATAATGTAGGCCTCATAAAATAAAATAAACTAGAAATGGTGATAGAATACTAGCGTTTATAAACCTTTAATATCACGGTGAAGCACTTGATTCACATGACAATAGTGAAGCCCCGTCAAAAGTTGTCTCATGTAGCACTGTAAGACAAACAGGTAAACAGATGGGAAGAGTACTTCAAGTATCAAATAGTTGGTGATTAAGTACACTTTGCAATCTTGCTGTTTGTGATACCTTAATCTGAGGAACCGAAAATCTCATCCCAGGTCGATCAGCTAGGCCTGTCAAATCATGGTCCATGTATTCAAAGACCATATAGATGCCACCTTTATACTTGTTACCATCTGCAACTCCAAGAAAAACATATTTAAGTTAGAAATTCCGTGATATCAAATCAGGGTAAAACAACGAAAAAAAATTGGCTAAATTAGACAAGCCAGATCTAAAGAAAAATGGTAGTGCTTGACCAGCTTTAAACCAATGAAGATGACAATAAACACAATATGCTAATGGTGATCACAACAACAGAGTACTTGCCTGGTCTACCTTGCTCATCCTTCTCTGGCCCTGTAAAACAATCCCCCAAATTATTGATAGCTAAAGAAAACTATAAAATGAAACTGTTCCAGGAAACAAAGAGTGCATTATATAAAAATTCCCACAGTTGTATACAGAGACATAAATATCTAATAGAAAGTATCACTACAATACCTGGAGATGTCACAATCTCTTTCAAATTGATGACATTCTCATGATGCAGCTTCTTTAGAATCTTGATTTCCCGTATGGCAGTTATGGGGAACTGGACGGGACACATTTCAAAGAAGTTTGCATATTTAGTAACTGATTACATATTAACATTAATCTTTCTTGATTGGGTACTGTACTGGAAATCCAGTTCGTGAGGAAATTAAAAAATTAAGGTATAAGTGAAGGGGCGGTGGCACCATTGTTCTTCTATGTAATCAAAATAACAAAGCTCGATGTGGTTAATAAAACTAAAAAGCATGACATACCCCCTCTCTCTCATTGTCCATTCGTATTTTCTTCAAAGCAACAATTTCTCCCGTCTTTATTTCTCTAGCCATGTAAACTTGACTGCAATTATTTGACAGCATCAGCAACCAAAACGTACAAAGAATGAGAATCCTCTTAACTTTGTAGGAGGACCAAAAAAAAAGCACGCATCAAAAAAGTTCTAGAATAAAGGGTTCCCTTAGGAAAGGATAAACAATAAACAAATTAAACTCTTAAATGAAGGTTAGTGAAGTTCAAATAAGAATATTTTGGTGGCACAATAGGATCCATGGATTTATTGTGAAATTCGTTAAAACAATATGTGGCCTGATTATCTAATCAGAAAAGAAAAACGAAAGTAGGCCTCATTAAACATGAATGACAAGTATACACTGTTTAACTTATTATTTTGAATGATTGTATCCATGAAGCACTTGCATTCTTTATTATAACTTCTGTAAGGAGAACCAGTCTCATTATTTTCTTTATCAATGAAAGTATCCTTGAACCATTATTATCATGCACCTTTCTGTGCAAGTGCACCGTATATTGATGTTAAAAACTCACAACGCATTTGTTTTGGAAAAGGTTCTTTTTTTCCTAAGGGGGTTGATGTCCTCCAAGCTATATGTACAGACGACTGGACTCCTAAGAAGAGAGAGTGTAAGGTTAAGGAGGAAGGCAGGTTTGGGTGCCATATGACTTAACATTCAAGGTGCTGTTAAACAACTTTTAAGGTTAAACATTCATCTCAGTTTAGATACACTGCCTACATTTATGTTTCCTTCTAGAAGAGGCTCCAGGATTTTATATTAACAGAGGTGCTTGGAAAAAGGGAAGGAACTTGGGATACATAATAAATAAATAAAAATGGGTCACCAAGGAATACAGAACCGCAAATGGCATCTATAATATACTGTCACTAAAGATGGTGCGAGGAGAAGCAGGCTTATACGGTATAAATTTCTTCAACCAAAAGTTGAAATGGGGAAAAATAATTTATTTTTGGGCCACTAAAGCTGTTGATTCATGCTATACTCTGACAAGTAAGATTTCAGTTCACTTCAGTGTTGAGATTAACATGAACAAGAAACATTAGGGTTAAACAGAGAGGTTTTACTATGCCTGTTGTGGAACAAACACAAGTCCAATATCTACTGCCTTGTAGACATTGTTTAACAATGTCTTCTACAACTTAGTGAAAAAGGTAAAACGAGTTGGGAATTCTGAAAAAACAAAGGGCTTGCCAAACGAAAAATATCTGTAGACACGTCCAGATGGTAATTTGTCTGTTAAGCCATGTGCTCTAATCAATACCTATTAGCACTTGTCCGGCGACTAGAGTGCCTTGTTAGTGATGTATCAGGTAGTAATTAGCAAAAATAGAAAAAGAATGAACAAAAACCAAAAAGAAATATTGAGGTAATCCTTTATCAGCAATACATGCTAATCATTAAATTTATTTCATACATTCATCAAGACGTTGCAGTAGTAAATTCATAAAGAAAAAACAACTATTTCAGTTCCCCCTGAGGGTCAAAGTAAAATAACAACTCTGTTTAAATATTTGTTTGCGATAATCAAACCCATAAGAGACCTACAAAAAAAAAAAAAAATTGAGCAAATTGAAACATCAACTTCTAAGATTAAACTTCACTAACCAACATCATGTTATCTGACAAAACATCAAACAAGAAACAAAGAAAAAATGGGTGCCAAACTACAAGCCAAAATCCACAATACTTAAAAAAAGTAAAAATGCTACGACAGAAACTTCCAAGTACTGAGATGCATGGAATTGAACTAACCCATAGGTTCCCTCGCCAATTTGCTCCAATTTCTCGAAGCAGTCGACGCTTCTTGAACCCCATGAAGGCACCTCGTTGAGATTAAGCTGCCCAGGGGCTGCTATTGCCATTATTTCGCTTATTCTTCAGCAATCGATTATATCTTCAATTTAATACAATGGCATAATCAGAACACCATGCTAAAACAGAACAAAGACAATGAAAGTTGCAGATTTTCTCATCATCATACCTGAACGATATCAATCGTCCGAGAAAAGGCGATGAAGCTACCAAATCCAATTGGTGCTTGTTAACAACTCCACCCTCTTCTTCTTTTGGGGTTCACAGACTCCAAGAATGCAGCACCGGGGCTTTTGCAGAACAACTGTACACTTTTCGAAATTGATAATTCTCTGTTCCAATCAGTTTTCTAGGGAAGCAAACAGAACGCAGACAAGCCCTCCTCTTCACACAGTAATTGGTTCAATCTCAGATTCACGAACTGAAAAACGGAAATATAAAGAGAACCCAATTTGGGAAGACGCAAAAGAAGGCGGCCCACTAGGGTTTAAGGTGCGTGCCGTTCACCAGAGCCGAGGCCGATCGAGGTCTGGCGCTTTGACAGAAAAACCCTAGCTTCAGCTTGAGGGGCGCAGGGAAGGGCGACGGTAAAAGCTTTGTCTTGGTCCGTTTTCCAAACGTATATCCAAACTTCAATCAAATAAGCTCATCACAGCGACAAGAGTAATTTTTTTGGTGTAACACTAATGATCCTAGACTAAATAGAGAAATTGGAACTCCAATCATGCTACTTATGCCTATCACTTTCTAAAGTAGGAAAAGGAATTCTAGTGATTCCCAATGATTTAATGTTTTTTTATTTTTAATATATTAAGCTTTTAATTATTGGTAATTATTTTTTATTAAAAAATTAGGTATTAAACATAACAATTCTTATTAATTAGAATTTGAGAGAGAATAGTAATACTACACTTACCAAATTTTTATCTCATATTTCTATACCATATGATGTGACATGTCCATATTATATGTCACATCAATTAAATCGATGAAGTGTATTTTAATAAATAAAAAGTTTAATTAACAATTTTTTTAAGTGTTAATAAATCATAAAAGAAAGGAAAATATTAAATAATTTAATTGATGTGACTGTCCACCATAAACTGGTATGGAAATGTGATAAGAGTAGAATTATTCTTTGAGAGATAGAGTATTTTTGTTTAGGTTTTAATTAGGGCTGGGAACGATTTGGGTTGGTTCGGTTTTGGGCTCAACCCGAAATCGAACCGGAGACTTCGGTTTGGCTATTTTGAAAATCAAAACCAAACCATAATTGATGAAAACCTACCATTTCGGTTAATTTCGGTTTTTTGGCTTTTTGAGAGAGAGAGAGAGAGAGAGAGAGGAAATAAAAGCAATGGAGAGGAGAAGAAGAAAAAAAAAAAGAGAGGGAGAGATGGAGAAGAAGAAGAAGAAGAAGAAGAAGAGGAGAAAAAGAAAGGAGAGATAAGAAGAAGAATGAAAAAAGAAGAGGGAGATGGGGAGAGAGCGTGAAGACATATAAGAAGAATGAGAAAATTAAAATAGAGAGAGAGGGATTGATGAAGACAAGACAAATAGAGAAATTGAGAGAGAAGAAAAAGAAAAGATTGAAACTATGTATTATATATATATATATATTTCTTAAATAATATTGTGTATAATATTTATTAATATCTTCGGTTTGGTTTGGTTAAACCATGGGTTTGAATATTGCAAACCGTAAACCAAACCATATATTTCAGTTTGGTTTGGGTTCAAACCGATGACCAAAAAAAAATGAAAAAGAAACAAACCAAACCAAACCGATCGGTTTGGTTTGGGCGGGTTGGCCGGGTTTCAGGTCCAAATGCCCAGCTCTAATTTTAGGAATCAAATTTTATTTTGGATTTGGCCAAAGATGAGACCCAAATTCATTGGTCATGTCTAAATTAGAAAGGTAAAATTTACCTTTTTTGTTTAAAAGCCTGGCCAAAATTAGATATCATACTTCCTCTCTTTAGACTAGAAAACAGGAAAGTAACATTCCTAATTTCATAGTGACTTTCTGTCGCCGTAACAACCTTATCTCGTCATCGTTCCTTCACAAAAGTTGCTTGCTATCACCTCCTCTATCATTTTCCCAAATTACCCAACTCAAACAGCCGGTGTTTGTGGCCAATTTTGGCTGGAACAATCCAGTTATGAGAGTGGATTTCATATTTTGGCTATGGGTTACACGTACCTCCCCTTGGTTACTCGTTAATTTACCCATACGTGGTGTTGGATTTTCCGGCATGTGGGCTCACTTAAATATTGATTACTGTTACTTTACCCACATGTGGCGTTGGATTCCCTAACGTGTGGGCTCCCTTTGATACTGATTAATAGTTACTTTACCAGAAGTGACGTTAGATTTTTCGGCGTGTGGTAAAGAATCCGGATACATTTGATATTGGTTACTTTACCCATACATAGCGTTTGATATTCTAGCATATGGGCTTACTTGGATACTATTTACTATAATTTTACCACACGCGGCGTTGGATTTTCTAGTGTGTCGTATTGATCTGAGCACCTTTGGTCAGGTGTGTCGTAGGCCTTAACAGACAGTCTGCTCGCGTAGGACATGGTTTGGTTTAGCCACACATGGCGTTGGATTTTCAAGCCTGTGTCCTGTGGAGCGGTATTCTCCCGGTTGGACAGCTTATCCCTAGACGCATGGTAGAAAATTGAAACCCTACTAGCTAGTCAAATGATCTCCGTGTTGGATTGTTTCCCTGGTACTAGTATTGGTGTGGTGGGTATACTTTTAGTTATATATACATATATATGTGTGTGTGTGTGTGTGTGTGTGTGTGTGTGTGTGTGTGTGTGTGTGTGTGTGTGTGTGTGTGTGTGTGTGTGTGTGTGTGTGTGTGTGTGTGTGTGTGTGTGTGTGTGTGTGTGTGTGTGTGTGTGTGTGTGTGTGTGTGTGTGTGTGTGTGTGTGTGTGTGTGTGTGTGTGTGTGTGTGTGTGTGTGTGTGTGTGTGTGTGTGAATATGTAAATTTTATTCTTATTTATTTGTGAGGATCCTTCCTCGCTGCTTGTGCTTACGAGCATGTGTCTCGGAAGAGAGTGGTCTGGGAAAGGGAAAAAGGTCCAATTTAAAGTTGTGTTATATGCTATATTATGGGATTATGAGATACCTTGGCTTTAAAGAATGGAATGTCAAGCATATAAATTTGATTATATATATAAATATGTATGTGGGTATTTTATTTGTAGACTTGTTTCCAGGTTGAGTTTTCTGAGCATATGCATTAAGACTGCTCTGCACAAGCATGGATATTTGAATGAGGCTCGAATTTAAGATTGGCATATTATATTTTGTGTTAACGGGATATTTTGGTGGGTTTAAATTTACGGTTTTACAATACTGATTAAATAAGCAAGTTTATATTGTTTTCCAAGAAATTGGAGAAATTTTATTTATATGGTTTCCCTTATTGTATGCTATTAGAGCATCTCCAGGAGAGTCTCCAAATTTTAGCCAAATTCTAGTTAAAATAGATAGAAAGCTATTATAACAAACCACTTAAAAGGTTTTTCCTCCAGCAATGTTTTCTATTTTTGCTAATCTGAAATATTTTATTATTATTTTCTCTTTCTCTTTCTCCCTCTTTCTCTTGCAAATCCAAAATATTAAAAATAAAATAAAAAGGTAGAAACCCAACCCCACCAACCTCCCAAATGTCTTTATCTCTCTCTCCCTTTTTCTCTCTCCTCCTTGCTAAATGTAGAAAGCCAAAAGTTGGTTCTCCAAAGTAGAGAGCCAAGTAGGGAGTCTACTGGAGGAGGATTTTCCTTCTTTTTAGCCAAAGTAGCTAGGGATGAGAGGATAGAGAGTCTGTTGGAGATGCTCTTACATGAGCTTATTGAAGTAAATTATTTTCAAGTATCTATTGGCAAATATGTGCATATACAAAAGAACTTTGTTGTATAGTATTTTGACAATACTTTGTAAAACATATAGGGTTATTTATGTTGAAAATAAAGTATGTTGAACGATTTGTTTTCGTCCACTCACATCTTTTGTTTTGAGCCCCCCAGGTCCTAGATATCTAAGGTCGAAACCACCATGTCGAGGCATCACGGCTGTCCGCTATGTAGAAACTTTCCTTTACTTTTCTTTACCCTTATTCTTTCCCGAGTTGTAAACTAAATTCTTAATTGCTCTGCTTACTCATTTCGAGTTCAAGTAGGAGGTGTGAAGCTCGTTTCAATAGTCTTAACTGCGGTGTTTGCTTTAGCATTGTGTGTAGGGGTGGTTGCGGTTTGGTAACCGCAAATTTTTACTCAAACCGCAAACCAACTGACTATTTACGGTTTGATGATTTTTGAAACCGCAAACCGACCGCATTTTGCGGTTTAAAACCGCAAGTTCTCAAGCATTCACAAAAATATAAATTCACAACCTAATTAAATAAATACACAACCTCAATTTCCCAATCATATATAAATTCACAATCTCCTAAACTTCTCAAGCATTCACAACCTAAGAAAATTAAAGTTATAATTCCAAGTATTCCAATTAAAGTTAAACTTCTCAAGCATTCCAATTCCAAATCCTTTAAAGTTACAAACCAAAAAGAAAATGTAAAGCAAAATGAATTAAAATTACAACCAAAAAGAAAAATCCAATCCAAAGTTAATTAAAGTTACAAACTAAAAGGAAAATGCAATGCACCAATGTTACAAACTAAAGTTACAAGCTCAAGTGTTGGTGGTGAGTGGATTTGAAGAACCCCGTTGTGTTGTTTGAGCACCAATGTTATCTACAAATAAAACAACATAATTTAATACATTTTATTATAAGAATAAACTAATTACTTACAAGTTTTCATATGTTCCATTTCCTTGTAGAATTCAACCTCATCATCCGTGCGGTTATACTTTGAGGTTTGCGGTAATCGCAAGTTTTGAAAATCAAATACCGCAACCGCAACCGCAAATGCTGTTCGGTTCTTAATACCGCAAATGCGGTTCGGTTTACCGCGATTGCGGTTTCATTGCGGTAAATTGTCGGTTGGTTTTTGCGGATTTTTGGTTTTTCAGTTTAAAATGCCACCCCTAATTGTGCGTGTTACCTATTGGAATATTTTCTTCTGTTGTTTGTAACATGTGGAAATTTTTGGTAAAGTCCCTTTTTCAGGGGAGGTTCTGCCAAAATTTTTGCAAAAGTGGATTTGTTTATCCCTTAAGCTAGGGCATTAGGGCATTTTAGTAAAGTAGGTTTGGTATCAGGTACGTGTTGAGGGGGAATCCGAGGCGGGTCCTATTAGGGGCTTTCAAAATTTGAGGATCCTCGTACCCGTCCTCGATTTGCCCTTGAAATGTCCCCCCAATAGGGTCGGGGGCTCAGCCCAACGGGGATTTATGTCATCCCTACACACAACTAAGATGTCATAGGGGTTCGAACTTAAGACCTCTTGTCTGCAAGTCAAGGCCTTTTTCCAGTGAGTTAGACCTTATTGGCTCAATTGAACTATTTTAATGAGATTGAGTTTGTGGAACTTAAAAATATTGAATTGGGAAATAATTAAACTTCCTTTACATAGTAACAATAGCGAGCATTGACTTAATCACAAGACACAAAAAGGATGTACCTTAACCAATCAAGAGATGAGTTTTATGCACAATCAAAACCATGAACTTAATCAAATTGTTATTTAACTGAAAGCAAGAAAGAA